AAAATCACGCCTGGCTGGACCCCGGACCATTTAAGTCAGAATCTCTATTTTATGTTTTGAAAGATGACTCTTACGAGCAGCCAGGGTTGAGAACACCTGGACAAGTGTCCCCGGCTCTAGCACTCCAGTGTTCCGTGGTGGGGAACCACCCAAAGCTGCAGGTGGGTTGGGCCAGTGACTGGAAAGGCCTCTGAAGTCCCACCTGCAGCCCAGGCAGCTCCAATTCCGTGCGTGGGGGCGGGGGAGGTCCTCTCCGAGAGGCCCCCTGAGCTTGGAGGTTAGGGAGGTGCTTTCCTTGGGCCCGGGTACTTTCTGGAGAAATCACCTAGGGCTTTGGGGCACGGAAGGCTGGACACCTGGGCCCAGGTTCCCTGTGCAGAGGGTGGATTCCTTCCACCCATATCTGGCCCCCAGACAATTCCAGGGTACAAAGTGAGAAGGCCTGATCTGAGCCCTGGGGGGTAGGTGGCCTCTTTCTAGACGCCCTGTCTCTGTCCCAGGTGAATAATTTTGTATGTAATCCAACATGGAACTGGGGTCAGGACTTAGAAAATTCCACCCATAGCCTGCCTGTCATATGGGAGCGCTCAGGCCACTTCATAACCCAGCAGCCCGGGCTGTGTTCTGAATTGCGGATGGCAGGTTGGGAGAAGGACTGCAGAAACCCCGAGGCCCGCAGGGACCAGAGCAGCCTGCAGGACTGCCCCTGCCGAGTCACTTGCAGGAAGAGAGCCGGGGCCGTGTGCTGGAGGGAAGAAACACACCCGCGTTCAGGGGAGGAGACGTTGGCAGGGCCACCTGCCACAGAGGTGATGCCGGAGCTGTCTCTTTGTTGCAGACAGTGACGAACACCTTCCGTGCGGCCAACGTCCAGATCCAGAGCCAGGACCAGAGGCTGCTGACCCTGTGGCTGGACAAGGACCATCGGCGCACTTTCAGGGATGTGGTCAGGTGAGGCCGGGCCTGCCACCTCCTGGGCTGCGTGCCCCATTGGGCAGACCTAGCAGAGCCAGCCCCTCCGATCCCCCCAGCCCCCGCCTCCAGCCTTGCCAGAGGCAGATCCTGAGGCCGGGCAGGTGTTCCTGGTGGGTGTGAACTTGGGCCGCTGCCCTGTGACTTGAATCCAGGAAGAAGGGCAAATGCACGGCTGACCCCGAGTAGCCGAGATTGCCATGAACCTGCAGCTGCAGCCCTCCCGACCCAATGCCCGGTACTGGCACTGCCCCCTGCAACACAAGCTGCCCTACGGTGGCAGCTGTGCCCAGTTCCTGTGACCCTTGTTGGATAAGGACGGCAGACACAGTGACCCATCCAGCCATGTTCTCCTCTCCCAGTGTTCGCCCTCGGCCAGGGGGCTCTTTCTTCTCCTGATGCTCCCTCCTCCCTCTATGGGGCCCCCTCCTCTATACCCTTTAACCCCTGAGATTGGAACCCTGAGATGGGTCTCCTGAGCTGGTCTCTCTCCACTCACAGATTCGAGGTTGCCCCCTGCCCAGAGCCATGTTCCGGGGTCCAGAAGTCCAAGGCGCTATGGCTCAGTTCACACCAGCAGAAGGAGGTGGAAGGGACCAAAGCCAAGCCCAAGCCCCTTCTCATGCCCATCAACACGTTCTCCGGCATCGTCCAGTGAGCCCGAAGGGGCAGTGGACGCACTGAGTCCAAGAGCTGCTGGCCCACGAGGAAGGACACACTACCCACCAGTCCAAATACTCACACCCATGGCCAGAGCAAGGCCAGGCTGCCCTGGACTGGCCCCAACAAGGAGCCAGCGAGTGCCTGGAGCACAAGGAGGCTGGCCGTGAGGTTGATGGAGGCCACACAAAGGCCCCAGGATGCCCGGGCAAAGCTGCGCACACACAAGCCCAGCTCCTGGCACAGCTGTCCGCTCCTTCCAATTCCCACCTCTCCCACTCATGCTCCCCCCAGCCCTTAAAACCACAGTGACAGCTGCTGTTTTGGTCAGGGCCCGCGTCCTGGGGGGAAAATGGGAAGTAGACAAAGGCAACTACACCTCCTCTGCCTCCCACGTCTGCTCCCTTCCCTCGCCTCTGCCCACCTCACCCAACCCTGGGCGTCTCTCTCGGTTGAGAGGAAAGTGTCAGATTCGATAAATGCACACTAAAGTGTTTCTGCTTTTATCTAACACCGGAAATATTCCTATTTTAATGGGGGCTGGGGGCAGGACTACCCTGTGAGTCCACTTGTGCCAGGTAGTGTCTGCCTGACCACACGTTGACGTAGGGACTCCCAAAACAGAGGTGGGAATGCAGGCTAGTTTCAGAGAAACCAGAGATTAGAGACAGTAAAATGCTTGGCTCTCAAGTTCAAAAACTCACACCCAAGGTAAAATAGGGAAGATCAGTGGCCCAGAACCAGTTCCCTCGCCCCCAGGACTAGCTGTGGGTGGGGCAGAAAGGAATACAGAGAACATAAAGGCGAGGCTTGAGCCCATCCCGTTCAGCTTGCAATGAAAGCAAGCTGTAGACCAAACCCTGCCATGCATACACCCCCACCCGACTCCCTCCCACCCCAACCAAATTCGGCGCTGTGAGCAAACCTGTCTCTGGAGGTGGCTGGTTAAGTAAATGTTGGCTAACCTCCTCTGGAGTGTGTACTCCCGAGTTGGACGTCCTAGGTGTAGATTAGAACTAACTCTTTCCGGGTCTTGATGGACCCCGGAAGGGGTGTGGAGTGCCCTCAGCTGCCAGCCCTCTCTGGGGGTGGTCCCAACTGAAGAAGATGGTGTCACCCAGCCATGCCCCTTCCAGGGGGCACCCATGTCCCCCGAAGCAGCTCTGAGCCCTGGGGACAAAAATAGCTGCCTTCTGAGGCTCTGATTGGACGGAGGTGGGTGATAAACAAGATAACAGTGACAAAGAGCCCCATCGATTGTATGCTGGACAGTAGCTGCTGGGGGGAGAAAACTAAAGCGGGTGGGGTTGGTATTTCAGTGAATGTGGCCTTGGGCAGTAACAGGGTGGTCCTGGCCTTTGAGTAAATCCTGAAGATGAGGAAGGAATTAGACTTCTATATTTACTTTCCGCCTCCCGAATAGTTTCACTCGCCTGAAGCAGTTCAGGGGTCAAACTCAGGCTCCTGAGAGACTGAGAGACACTGAACAGTGGGAGTCGTGGGGCTCAGCTTGGAGCGCAGCACCTGTACACGCAGCAGGTGCGGGGAGAGCCAGCAGTGTCCGGCCCAGGAGGACAGGAGGCGGCAGGTGCGGGGAGAGCCAGCAGTGCCCAGGCCAGGAGGACAGGAGGCGGCAGGTGCGGGGAGAGCCAGCAGTGTCCGGCCCAGGAGGACAGGGACATGGCAGGTGGCAGGTGCGGGGAGAGCCAGCAGTGTCCGGCCCAGGAGGACAGGGACATGGCAGGTGCGGGGAGAGCCAGCAGTGTCCTGGCCCAGGAGGACAGGGACATGGCAGGTGCGGGGAGAGCCAGCAGTGTCCTGGCCCAGGAGGACAGGGACATGGCAGGTGCGGGGAGAGCCAGCAGTGTCCTGGCCCAGGAGGACAGGAGGCGGCAG